ATAATTTGCACAAAATAAATTGACCAAAATACCCTTGAAGAGTATAAATTGACCAAAATATTCCTGAAACTTTTCAGGGGTATTTTGGTCAACTTATTTCATGCGAATTATTTTTTGATATTTTTATTAGATTCCACTATTTTTTAAGAATATACGCTCCAAATTTTAAGTCATTTGGATTTGTAGAAAAAAAATAAAATTCAATTACGAAATACAACTGTGATCATTGGATCGGCCCAGACTCAATCTGGGACGTTGGGCTTACACTGTTCCATCAGCTCATGGGCTGGCATGAGCTTTTTCCATATATATATATATATTGCATTTCTTTTCTGAAGTTTTCTATTTTTTGGAATTTTCTTAAATTTTCCTTTTTTTCATGTTCTCTGGCTCTTTGAGCAGCTAGGCACAGACTCAAGCAAATTGACTCTCGACCAGCAAGAGGCCCAGTTTCCATGGCCAAAGCCGAGATAGTAAAACATTAGAATACGTTACTAAGAGAAAATGCATACCAGAGAGAGGTTTCACGAGTTCTTATCAAACCCATGTTTGTGCTAAATGCATCCAAATATTGGATGGCAACATCCAAAATGTCGGGTGGATAATATTGCCACCCATATTTCAGGTACATAAGTTAACATGTGGGTTCAAATAGCAAATCCTAAGAAAGGATGTAAATAAAAGATAATGACCAAGATATCTTGGTGTTGGCAGTGAAAAAATAACACCGTGCCTGAGAAATTACATGAGTATGATTAGAATTTTTAGTGCACAAAAGATTTTATAGTATTCACTTTTAAGTTTTGTTTTGTTGAATATTTGAAGCGCGCACAAGCAATTGTTCTTGCTCAAAGTTTGATCAAAATATGAAAAAAGGCATTATATTTTCACAACATGCACTTTTGATAACTCCAATACAGTAGACAACTAATATTAGTAAATGATTTAGAACTTTCAGATCCAGTAATAATACAGTAATAGTTCGCATTCTAATATTTCGTGGAGCATGCTCTTCATCTCTAAACAAATTTAAAAGGCACAACTAAACATTGGTTCTCACCTTTTACTGAGCATATTGTCAATCTCTTCTTCAATGCCATATTCATCAAAAATAGGGACCCGTTTATCACAGAGCTCGACTCTATTGCACAAATCTGGTGCAACTTCTTGGAGATAGCTTGTTACCTGAACATATTTCCCTTCTATCAGTATCCTATAGTATATTCAGCAGCATAAGAAGGTAGAATCCATTCAAATTTTGAAAATGGTTGCCAATTGTTTAAAAAAATTACCAAGAAAATAAGAAAGCCCACTTAAAGCCAGCCATCAATGAATCAAGAGCCAAAAATAACCAGAGGTAAATGGGACAAAGTGCAAATTATATGACTCCTTTAGCAGCTAATGCAGTCACAACCAAAATATAGGAATCAGCAATTAATTAATCTATTGCCAGAGACTAGATTATGTTGTATGAAGATGATGTTACGGCAGTCAAATGATAATCTAACCACAACTTTGACAGTTTCAGTGAAATGATTCGTGAGAATCACCATTAATGGATTCTACAATGATTAAACGCTTCCTGCCTCTCCCCACTTCAATCAAGCCCAACTATTCCTAGAGACTGGATGTTATTGTAGTAATTGTCTAACATAATACCAAAAATAGACCTAAACAAATGGTGCAATCTCTATGGTACATTAAATTTATAAACCATTTCCAATTACTTGTAGTTTCGGCCCAATCATTGCATTTTAATGTTTTAGACTCACCAATAATATCTTGTTCAGATATTCACAACCTATTGGAAAGTTGTGCTTCAAATGACAGAATAAGCACCAACAAGTAAAAGCAGAAAAAAAAATGAATGCCTCCCCAGTTCATAGAGATTTTCCTACACAACAGATACATCTTACCTCATGATATGTCCGTGGGGAATCGAGAACCATCTTCTCAACCTGTAAGGGCATCGTTAGAAGGTAGTCTACAGAAATTAATGACATAAATAAACGAATAAATGAAAAAATTATCAACTTATTTTACCAAATAATGTATACAGCAGAGCCATTGTTTCTTTTGAGAGAGAGAGAGAGAAAGAGAGACATACCTTGTCATTGAAATAATCTTGCACAACAGATAGTGTTTGACCCATTGCTTTGTGCAAAATAACTGGCACTGCACCTTCAACCCCCTCATCTGCAGCAAGGGATGCTGAGGTTGCATGCTCAACTATATCTTTCCATGTAGAAACCAAACCCTCAAGGTCCTTCTGAAGTTCCTCCATAGTGTGACCAGCGGCTACAGTTCTCACAGTTAACCCAAATCCTGGGGGTTGCAATGTTTTAGCAATAAGCTTAAGCCGTGTGCGTTCAACTCCAGAGATCTTCTTTGATACCCCAACTCTATTACAGCGAGTACTCAGAACCTGAAACCCAAGTAAAGATAATCCAAAACCCAGAATTATGAAAAACATTTAAAATTGCCTCAAATCAAATAACACTATTTTTCCACAGGCTTCTCCATTCACACCAAATTTTTCTGGTGCTAATTATATCATTACCTACACAAGAAACTCAAAAGACAGAGTATATACTACCCAAAGAAACAAAGCGAATTCCACAAAGAAGAAGAAAATTAGAAGCCTGGAGGATTCTCTGTTCAACACAGTGAAAATCATTACCTTGCAGCAATATATTAAAGCAGTTACAAAATATCTGTAGCATTCCAAATGCCATCATGATACATAATTACTAAGTACTATGAAGGAGTATAGTTGCTGGAGACGGGAGCGGGATCAAGAGCGGGATCGGGAGTCGGATTGGTTCGGGATACGCCAAACCGCCCTATAGTGGAAGCTCCTTGGGGTTAGGATCGGCGTCCGTACAATGAACAAGACAAGGAGCGAGATCCTTATGTTTATGGGACGGGAGTAAGATCCAATGTTAATGGGTTCACTGTTTTGACTAGCAGGAATCTAAGCTCCACTATACAAAAAATGAGGTTGTCAGTAGAGCTAGTACGAGTTCCCTTGGTTAAGGAATCAAGGTTTAAATATGTCATATAACGGGGTTCCTTTTGTTCTAATATCGAGATTTTTAAAGTATAGGAATCAAGGTCCTCAACTGATTGGCCCGAGGTCCGCAAGTGCCATTTACCAAGAATCCCATATCAAGTGCCCCCCGCCCTTAACAATGGATTTATTTATTTTTGTGTAAATAACAACGGATTAATTATGTAGCTCTATTAGTCGGTTTTTCTTATGACCACTACATCTTTGGGCTATGACACAAGTTTGGCATGCACCATTCCCTCTGAATCCCCGACAACCTAGAATCCTATCGCTCAAGAGCCATCTTCTTCGAATGTAGTCTCCTCTGCTTCCATGGTTTCTCAAAGGCTAGCTCTCAGAAGGGCCAAGAGGACAAGATAAGCTACTCTCTCTCTCTCTCT